TGTATTTGAATGCCAAAATATTATTTATTATGTAGCCTACTTCACTGGCGTTCCAATATCCACGTAAAACAAAATGTTTTGAATAACATCACGGCAATACAGTGATAACGCTTAACGGCACAGATTGTACTACATATTTAAACTGAGCAGTGTGTTTTTTTTCCATATGTTTGACTGACTATTTTATTATGATAATGAACAGGCTGCATTGTCAAGGTAGCAAAACTTAACTGTGTGCGCTTGCGGCGCCTGCGCAATCATTTGAATTTTTTCCTTCTAACAGTGGAAGCAACTATCCTTTTAGTCATAAAGATAATCGGAATTGTAAAAGGTTTGCTTTTATTTGTGTACATTCACAATAAAAACAAATCTTTGTGCTTTTGTAAAATAAGCCTAACGAAAAATAGGATCCGGCTTTCTGCCGACTGTTTCCTTTCACGTAGCACAAAAATTAACCGAAACTCTGCATATTAGGCTACTTGTTGCAGTTTTTCTTTCGTTTTCTTCATTTATTATTTAAGTTAAAATATATTTCTCGTATAGGCCTATTTATTATTATTATTATTGTTGTTTGATTATATTAATATATTATATTATTAGTATTATTTATATAATCGGTTAACGAGCGTCGGTTGTCGGTTAGGAAAAATAACCGAAATGAACATCCCTATTTCCTAGTGTTTAAACCAAAAAATTAAAATCCCACAGAAGACGAAAGTGAACAGTTAGAAAACACAGTTGTGTAAAACCATACTATGAGTTCAACCAGATTCTTTCATTTAGGGCAGTGGTCGCCAACCCGTTGATCGCGATCGACTGGTAGATCTTTATAACTGTCCCAGTAGATCCCGAAAAAAAAACAGTAAAATAAGTACAAAAATGCATTACATTTATGGGGTTATATTAATGTATCACTGAAGGGTACTGTCTTGAGAAAAGTTTCGATGGCAATGGCATTTTCTTCTCCGTATAAAGCGCAACTCTGCTTTGTTTACAGCGGTAACCAAGGAAACGCTATATTGCGGTCGGTTCATAAGCGGTGTTGCCAAGTCCGCGATTTTAATTCACAGTGTGTGTGTTGTAATTATATAAGTATATAGTCTAGGGCTGTGAATCTTTGGGTAGTCAGCGAATCGATTTGATTCACGATTCATAGGTTTTCGATTCAAGAACGATTTTTGCAAATTCAGAACGATTCGATTCACAATTAAATTCGATTTGATTCAATTCTGCATTATTTAAGTGCATTCACTGGATTATTTAAATGCTTTCCCTAAATTCTTTAAATGTTTAGTCAGGGGGCAAATTACACAGCAGCCTTTATGGTTAGAGAACCATAGGTTACAGAAAAAAACCCACTTTTGTCCATTGTTAGATGCTAGTTTAGTGATGCTACGGCATGACATGGCATATGTAAAAATGTATGTAAGCCAAGATTTTAAAAAAGAGCTTTGAAAGTATTATGTATAGGCTAACATTTTGTCACACCAGGGGCGTAGCCATCATTTCAGAAGTGACAGAAATGTCAAATACAATAATTTTATGTATATGTTTTATTATTATTATTATTTTTTTTTTTACAAGGAATTATTTTTTTATCTCTTCAAATTTGCTATAATAAATCAAATACACTGCTGGACAATAATAAATCATTTGTAATCTATATTTTTTTCCTAATGGCAATTTTATGATCGTTTTATATACTACAAACAATTATTTCAATTTTCTGCACAGAATAAGGTAGAAAATATACTTTATAGTTTCTGTCCTGTAATAAATGATATGTCAATTAGCACTGCATCATTCATACATTTTATTTATTTATTGTGTTTATTGTCTTAACGTTTCAGTTCATTCTACTTTGTATACAGTTTAGCTGCAGATATAGCCTGGCACGTCTTAATTCTATGAGCGCGAGATCAATTCTCTTTCAGTGCGAAAACTTCTTTATCTCATTTTCATAAAATAAAATGCTATAGTATTTAACTTTTCCTCTCCATCGGCGAATGATGATTCTGAAAGAAAACGCGCCGATGTCTGTTTGCTAAAGCAACGAACGCTACTTTCATGCATCTGATTATCAGATAAACCTCGTGCTCTTATTTCAAGGTTGTTGTTAATGCTGTGGTTATTTTAACAGCTTCCTTCGTACATTCGGTTCAATGACATTGTTAAAAAACATTTATCATTCAGTGGAACTGTGCGTATGCTTTAAGGCTTGTTCACACCGGGTAGCAGCATCATATGACCCCTTTAACGACTCCTGACTAAACAAAGGGCGCCAATGTGAGTGTGCACACCGACGCGCAAAACGCGAGGCGTAAAAGCGTCATTTTTTTAAAAAACGCATCGGGTTTGTTTTTTTTGTTTGACGCGCCACAGTAAAAACTGGCCGACCAATGAGATTTTGTTCACGTGCCTGGAGCTGCTGAAGTTACAGTAAAACTCGATTTGGTGGCACTCAAGCACAAAACGGTCTTGCCGAGCACACATTGATACCTAACAACGAAGAGGAAGTAAGCAGACCAAGAAGATGCATCAAGGCAAGATGAATATAGAGCTGCTGGTCTCATTGGAGTCTGAACACAAAGGGCTTTATGACAGACGCGACAGCGACTACAAAAATCTCGATAAGAGGGAGTTGTTATGGAGAGGAATTGCAGATCAAATAGGATTCGATGTGTACCGGGGTATTTCTGTTTTCATTAAGCGCCATCTAATGTCAGGGAGTGAATTTGCACGTTCACTTGGCTCATCGCCAGCGAAAATCGCTTGGGTATGAACACAAAAGACGTATCGAAAAACGTCGGCGATAAGCGCGCGATAATCGTACCGGTGTGTGCGACACTTACATTTTTGCTCCGTCCATGCAATAAATGCGCAGCCTTCGACTGCTCAGGTAATGTTGTCGGTATGACCGAGAGCCATTGAAAAACTACAGAAAAGCAAAACTACTTCACTTTAGCATTACTGGCCACGAGTACTAAAGAAGAGATCACACATCAGCTGCTCAAAAAATGTGTCAGTGAGACGAACGGAGCGCGAGCGCAATCCTGTGACAGTCACAGGTGGTAAATAGTGCAGCGCGTGAAGGAGAGATGTGAGGCACGGACACTGTTCAAGGTCTCCATTAATTCCTGCTTGTAGTAATTTAATGTGTATATATTTTGAAAGCATTGAATCGCTCTAGAAATCGCGATTCATTCGATACTTAGCGTTTTAAATCGATTACTGTCCGAAATCGACGATTCAAAATCCATGTTTCAAGATCGATGCATATGCATCGTCAGGGTTTGTAATCGATGCATCGAGAAAACGAGTGAATCGTTACACCCCTAATATAGTCCATTGTGCTGCGTGTTTCAGAGCGTCACTGGACTCTTGCACGCGAGCAGCTCATGATCCAGTGTTTTCAGTGGCTCAGAGCGGCTCGCGGTTCACATGAAAATACAGTGAAGTCCATCTCTACATGTACTGTTTAACATGGATTTGGGAGCAGTGTGCACTAATTATGCTGATTTTATCTTCACATCATTTCCAACATTTTTCGCAACACTACATACTTTCATGCATTTCACACAGATTTATAATGAGAAGTTAAAATTCACTTCAGGTTTATTTGTGTATTGGGTCAAAGCAGCTTTAACAGAAATAAAAATTAACTGAAAATATACAAATAAAACAAATTAAAACTATTAATAAAAACTATAAAAGCATCTCAGTTATACTAGTATACAGGTTTACAGTTTAGTATGAATTTTATAGTAATTTTCTGTACATTTTTTGTTATTTTGTTGTTTTTGTCATTTTTATTAGGTTTTGTTTTTTGCATGTTTGTCTATATAGCTTTATTAATTTTTATTTCAGTTTTGTTACCTTAGTGGATCAAAGTAAACAACAACAGCAACAACAACCAAAAAAAAAAGAAATCTTTCCTGGGCAACTAGATGGAGAAAAAATATATAAAATTTCAAATTCAAATTTATTTATTTAATTTATTTATTTTTAAGATAATATTTCTTTAATAGTTTCAGTTTTAGTGAACTATAGTAACCCTGATAGAAACTTTGAGCTTTTCTGCAATTTTCCAACAAAATGAAAGTTTGAGTGTGTAACTCTTTCAATTGAAGAAATTGTCATTTTTATTGTCATTTTTCTGACAGTAAAGCAAGCATGGAATACTCATTATTTTACAATGCAGTTATAGTATAATAGTAGTATATGTCTGCTCAATAATAATAATAATAATGTGATTATTATTATTATTATAGTTAAGAAATACTTTGACTACGGTCAAACGAAAACTGAATTAGACAGTTCAAATTTTTTACCCTTAATTTTGTGGGAATTTTACCCCGTGGTATTGACAATGGTATATGGAATATCAATATTTTTCAAGGTATTATATCAAAGTTATAAGTTCCATTTTCGTGACAACACTGGGCATTGACTGCCCTCCCGAGTGTTCCAAAACAAACAAACAAACAAGTGCAGAGCCCTGCGTAATATGCTGGGTGCATGTAATATGTCTCCTGATTATTATGAATTGGATTCTTCTTCTGCAGTCCACTTCCTGGGTTGTTTGTGTGCAGCTTTTAGAGGAAAAGCAGGTCTAGAGTATCAGACTCAGGTTACAGTGTGAATGTGGAACAAAGTGAGGCTTGACCCTGATCTCCTTACTCACACATACAAACACTTCTCAGCGGTTCACCTCCAACTGCTCCTGTTCTCAGCCCGTGCGCTCGAGCCTCCCGATGAATGTTTGGCCTCTTGCTTTCATCCAGACCAGAACGCAGCCCTCCAGTTTGGCAAGTTCACTTTCACAAACACATCTGACACTTAACCGTGTTTCCCTCCAGCTGACCTCATTTTCAACTCCATCGCATTGCTGTGTTTGCAGCCAAATCAGAGGCCAGTTTTAGCTCGGTTGCTTTTCATCCCTCCCTTTCCCAGTGTTTGTCAATGTGATTTCTAACGTTGTCATATTTCTCTTTACGCAGATGTGAAGAAGGACTGGTCAGATCACGCGCTGTGGTGGGAGAAGAAGAAGACCTGGCTGCTAAAGACGCACTGGACGCTGGATAAATACGGCATTCAGGCCGACGCAAGACTGCTCTTCACGCCGCAGCACAAGCTGTTGCGCCTGCAGCTGCCCAACATGAAGCACATGAGGGTGAAGGTCAACTTCTCTGACCGTGTCTTCAAGGCCGTGTCCGACATCTGCAAAACCTTCAGTGAGTGCTGCTGCCTTCCCTAAAATATTACTCCGCTTTTTCATAGCTCCATTAGCCTAACTCAATCTCCCCGCTGGTCGTGAAGAACAGCAAGTCAGAATAATTGTGTTATTTTGCTATACATTAGAGCGCATTCAGAATTCAGTGCTGAGACAGATGTAGGCTTTGGTAGAGAGATGGTGCTAAATCAGAATACAGCGACAGCTTAAAGGCCCCATCAAATGCACTGACAAACACAATTGTTTTCATGTGCTGATGTATTTCCTGTAGACCAATCTAAGGGCACATGCTTTTTAAAAAGCCAATAGCCTTTAGCTTTGTAACACCCCAGCGTACTGCTAACACTGCCCACTGTTTTAAAAATAGTATGTGAAACAGTACATTATACATATAGCAATAAACATCTAAAGTATGCTGTGTTGTCTGTCAATAGTGATCATCTGATATGGGTTTTTAATGGCTTATGTGGATGTCTTGGACACTGATGATCGATAATAATGCCAATATATATGATATCAATCAGTTTAATGATAATAAAACAACATTGCCGCAATAGAGTTAGTACTTTTTTCACATAATATTTATTTAAATTATAAATATAACTTAACTTGATTAATCTGTAAGAAAAAAAAGCCTCTGGATTATAAACAGCACTGACGAGTAGACGACATATGTGACCCTGGAGCACAAAAGCAGTCTTAAGTCTCTGGGGTATATTTGTAGCAATAGCCAACAATGTATTGTATGGGTCAAAATGATTGATTTTTCTTTTATGCCAAAAATCATTAGGATATTAAGTAAAGATCATGTTCCATGAAAATATTTAGTAAATTTCCTGCTGTAAATATATTAAAACTTAATTTAACTTAATTAGTAATATGCATTGCTAAGAACTTCATTTGGACAACTTTAAAGATGATTTTCTCAATATTTAGATTTTTTTGCACCCTCAGATTCCAGATTTTCAAATAGTTGTAACTCGGCCAATATTGTCCTATCCTAACAAACCACACATCAATGGAAAGCTTATTTATTGTATAGATGTATAAATCTCAATTTCAAAAAATTGACCCTTATGACTGGTTTTGTGGTCCAGAGTCACATATGTGTCAAAACATCGGGGAAAAGAAAACTGCACTCATCAAATCACTTCACAGGAACTTTAATACAAAAACAATGTAAACACACAGGGTTTTGACAATAACTCTTTAGCAGCTAAAGTATCCCTATCCCTAGTAGTATTGTTATACTTACGAATATCGGAATATTATTACAAAAATAATGTAGTTCTTCTGAATGTATTTTAATTAATTCACATTCACACGGCATTGCAGCATTTCAGTTAAACCTATAGTCCTCATATTCACAGCAAACTAACAGAAAAATTGCACCACCAAAAAAATTTAATTTGAAGTTTCAATTTGAAGTTATGTCTTCAATAACTAATGTGAGCCCTCTAAATGAACCCAGACCCCTCACATCATAGGAGCTGCTTGTGTGGTTTGCTGTTTAACATGCATTAAGGGGCAGTTTGTGTTCTCTATTTCTTCTGCTCGGTTTTTAACTGTTGGTCTATATACACATGCATCAGACGGATGTCGTGTTTGCTGTTATGTCTTGTAGGGCTGAATGATTAATTGCATTTGCGGTAATATCGCGATATGAAAAAACGCGATTTTTCTATCGCAGAGGCTGCGATTACACTCGGTCATGTGACACGCGAGAATAAAGAGGTGTGTTCGACTTGAAGATCGATCGGTGTATGACATCAAAGTACGGCGAGAGAAAGCATAAGGAGACGTCCGCGCTCTCTTATAGCTCTCGCGGTACTTTGATGACACACACATCGGACTAAGCAGCGCTGCTTCAAGTCAAGCACGCGCCATCAGCAGAAAAAGAAAAGAAATAAAACCTTTATTACATGCTTACAAGGTTGGAAGTTCAACAAATCAGTCAATATACTGTGATTGTAGTTGTTAAATATAAATGTCATTCATATCAATTCATGCATCACCTAATTTCATCGTGACGTATAGACCTGGCCTACAGAAAAGAACATTTATGTTTAATCTGTCTAATATTGTGTTGGTCATATTATACAATGATTTATAGCTTGTCTTTGTTGAATAATACACAACATAACAAGCTTTAAAAAATAATCGCATATTAACTCGCAATCGCAATATTGGTAAAAAAAATCGCAATTAGATTATTTTCCAAAATCGTTCAGCCCTAATGTTTTGTTTTGTTCTCAGCATCTCACACTATGCGCTTCTGGCACTGGTGATGCTCACAAGTTGTCAGTTTCATTCTGTTGTGCTCTTATGTCATCTGTAAATGGACCTAACACAGAATTTGGCTCAAATAATACATGATGATGCTGATGATATTTACTACTGTGCATCATTGTTCTACCTTTTGGAAAATCCTGTGGTACTGCTGTTGTTTTGAGGCTTGAGTGCTGTGATAATGCCATAGCACTGGTATCTAATAACTGAATTGGTTAAAGGTGTGCTTGACCACATTTCTTGTTTTCTGGTCTTTTGGCTGGTGTTTATTATTTCTTAAACACACTGATCTGTATGTCGTAGCATAGATAAGACCCAGCATGCCCTTGAACCGCTCCAAATCCTGTTTCGTAAACAGTTCTTATCAGTGTAACTGGCTGATGGTAACTTTTGTTGTGTCCATATATAGAAAACAAGGCCTTATGAGCACTTACAGGTTGAATCTTTTTCACTGTCAATATTTGCAAAAAAAAGTATTTCGACCAGGAAATGTTGGTATTTACATTTATTATTTGTGTGCATGCTTCAGTAGGTCGATAGGATTTATTGTTGTAAAAGACCAAAATTTTTGTATCTACAACATCACTGTAACGTTTCCAAAGCAAAACATCTAACAACTATATTTGTCATTTCAAACTGGTTTGATTCCAGTTTTGATTCCTCTTAACAATTCCAGGTCCTTAACGGTTTGATTTAATTATTATTTTAGTAGTCAGTAGGGTTGCAAAAAGGTGGAAATATTCCAGAAATTTTGGAAACTTTCCAGGATTCTTTGGAATATTCCAGGGATTTTTGAAACGTTTCCTGAAATTTACCGGAAATGTTCCACCCCTTTGCAACCCTAGTATTCAGTACAAATAGATTGATAGCTTTGATATAGATATTTTAAAGTTTTTGTCTGTATAGAAACTGCATGTTTTTTTTGGAAAGTATTGAGGCACACAGTTAGTTCTGAGAAAAGCCCCAGCATCGTTTGTTTGCAAATGACACTCGAGTTTCATATTTTGTTATCTAATGCAATGGCATTCAGGTATTATTTAGTGTCCAGATGCTTTTGGGTCCCCAATACCTGTATGTCTTGTAGAGCATGCGGAGTAGTGTGAGGAAGGGATGAGGGACAGGAGTTTTACAGCACTTCAACTGGCAGCAGCTGCAGACAGCCAGTGAGACGGTGATCATCCAGGTCACATATGCTGTCTCTCTCTCGGTGTCTCAGCTGCCAGAGAAATTGCGAGTTTCTTCTTCATTAGTTGGAATCACTTGGTCATGGAGCCAGAGTTTGCCGGTGATGAGAGAGATCCACAGAAGGGGACGTCTGCTCAGGAATTCAATTTTTAAATGAATCCCAAATCACAGATAACCAGAAATGAGTAATGCTTGAAGCCCGCGTGATATTTAAATGCCCCTATTAAGAGGATAGTTCACCCAAAAAGTGAAATGTTGCTGTTAATGTTCTTAAACCCTCAGGTCATCCAAGATGTAGGTGACTTTTTTTTGTTCTTCAGTAGAACAGTAAAGAAGATTTTTATCTGAAACCGTGGTCCTTGGTGATTCATAAAATGCACGTCAGCGGCTGCCGTCACTTTGAGAGTAAAAAAAAAAGCATATGCAGGCAACACAAAATGAATACCTGTGGCTCCTGACGATATATTGAGGTCTCATAAAATGAAACGATTGGTATGTGCAAGAAACTGAACATCATTCACAACATTATTATCTGTAATCCAGAGCCTCAGGCAAACTGGGAAATCTGATTATTTTCTGTGAACTGGTTCTTCCGGACAGTTCGATTCAATGAATTGGTTCAAATAACCGATTCACCAGTTTGCTTACATAATCACGCATTGATGTAACGTATACACAATTATATGATTAAAGCCCCAAATAATGTGTGTGAATAAATTAATGAATAAAAGCAAATAAAATAAAAGTGATTCAGTTGGCAAAAACCAGCATCATAGGATCGTATATACTGCTATGTTGACTCCTTTTGAGTCTGAGTGACTGTCAGGCGTTTGAAAGTGAGTTTTTATTGAGTAACTTGTAGATCTGTGCTGCTCAAGGTGCGGGCTGTTTCAGACGCTTCAGTCCGATTCGGTGAACTGGTTCATTCAGTTCACTAAAAGACATCATACTGCACCACAGTAATATATTTCTGATAATTTCATTAAACTAACCCGAATTTATAGTTTGACGTGTTGCCATGAGGAACTTGTTTCTGTAGGTGTATGTAAATGATATGAAGATAGTTTTACTCCAATGAAACGGTCAAATGCTCATGAAATGACGCTTAGAGGGGTCAGAGCAGTTCTGGAGATGTTGTTCATGTATTTATGTCCTCATGTAGTGAGACGACAGAAGCTGAAATCACCGTGAGCGTCGCACACTTTGTGTAGAAAACAAAACGCGTCTGTTCCATTTACAAACACAGAGACGCGCAGAACATGCTGGATTCATATTTAAATAGTATTTTTGCGGCTTAATATTTACAGATACTAGTCCATATTGCGACTCTATTTAAGTGTACTGACCTACTTTTGATTAATTCATCCAAACTTTGACAAATTCCGTGACATTCCGCGTCATACAGTAAATTCCATTTATATGACTGGATTCCGCGATTCCGTCCGCGTTTTCCACATCGCGGAAATCATAGATAATATTGAGGTGTTTTGCAACTTCAGTGTAACAGTTAGTGGCTTGCGATTTATT